TTCATCTATCTGTCTCTGTACCTATCTTGCTTTGTGCATTTATAATACTCAGTAAAGTCAGTGATATTCTTCATAACCTGTCTGAGAAGGTTCATGCCTAAGAAGGAGGTGGGCTCACAATTTCTGGGTTGAACATTAATGAAACCTGTTAGCACTTGTGGGCTCATGAGGTTTGTATGTCTCTCCTTTACCACTGAGCAGACTATTTAGAGGCCTTGCCTTACAGCATGTGTAGGTAGCGCTTCTTTGAATTGGCTATATAGCCAAATACAATTAGAAGGATAGCTTCTAATATATGGATTTTTAAATATATGTGGTATAAAATTAAAATGAGAAAAGCATGTCACACATTTGGAATTAATCTCTTCTTTATGTAGCCTTCCTCAGTCTTTGTCTTTTCCAAATTATTTATTTAAATTATCATAGAGAATTAGCATTGTTCTAAGAGGAGTAAAAGCCAATATAAATTTTAGTAAGTTAAGAAAAATGACGTATGCAGCTTGCTATACTTGCTACCAGGAAACATATAGTTGCACTATCTTTGTATTATATGTTTATGGGCTCTTCTTGGTATATAGTTATACGTAACCCTGAAAAGGAGAAAGCAGGTGTGGGTCTGTGGAGAAAGGAGTGGTGTAGCAGGACTGCTCCCCCTGGAAGATTTTCAAGGGCTGATTTCCTTTACTTAAGTCCTTTATCATCTCTCAGATCCTTGGTTCAGTTTTTGTTTGATCATTCTTTTCTTTCTATGTTGCCAAGTTTTCCTGAGGATGGTCTAGCAGCATGTGATTCTTTTCAGCTTAAATTTCTTATATACTGCCCAATACCATTTTATTTTTCTTTTCACAAACTTGTCTACTACCTATAAAGCCTAAGTCTGTTTAAAGTTCTAGATAGAGCCTTTTGAAGGTTGTTGCTCCATTATGCATTGATGATTCTTGCCCAATGATCGCAAAATGGAGATTTGCCAACTCTACTGCTCCCTCCATATTACAGCCAGTATTATACTGTAAGGAAAGCTGACCCTTCTTATTTTACTTATCCATTTATCAGAAGCAAGGTGTCATGGATTTTTTTTTTAATTTCAGAATATTACAGGGGTATAAATGTTTAGATTACATATATTGCCTTTGCCCTGCCCGAGTCAGAGCTTCAAGAGTGTCCATCCCCCAAACAGTGCACACCTCACTCATTAGGTGTGTATATACCCATCCCCTCTTCCCCCTTTCCACCTGCCCAACACCCGATGAATGTTACTACTATATGTGCACATAAGTGTTGGTCAGTTAATACCAATTTGATGGTGGTGCTTGTTTTTCCATTCTTGTGATACGTCACTTAGTAGAATGGGCTCCAGCTCTATCCAGGATAATACAAAAGGTGCTAGAT